TCTCTCTCCCTCCCTCTCTCTCTCTCCTTTCTTTCTCTCTCTCTCCCTCTCCATCTCTCGCTCTCCCCCCCCCCTCTCTTTCACTTCCTTTGTTTCATTCTCTTTCTCTCTCTCTCTCCCTCTATATATATATCTCTCTCTCTTCCCTCCTCGTCTTGCCAACTCCCCCCCCCCATCCCCACCCCTAAGCCCACTCTCCCTCTCCTGTCCCCATGTGTGCACGGTTTAGAAAGTACACCCATTGCTCACAAGCAGAAGATATGACCCCTGCAATGAAGTACTCCTGACTCTCAGATGTACCTAACAGTCTGGGATATGTCCTCTTTGTATCGCTTTTTTCTTTCTTTTCTTCATTCCCATTACCATTTGGTGACGTGCTATGTATCTGAAAAGACATGTTTGCCTCATACTGACAGTAAAACAAACTAGCAAAAAAGCAAACAAACAAAAATATGTTTAAATAATATTATGTTAAAATTTCCTCTGCTCCCGCATTATACAGAAGTAAGTGGGTGGTTGGCAGAAGCTCTGGTGTGTTTTGCTCCTTCTTTCCTATCAAACATCTCTTGTCTTTATCTCTCCTCCTTCTCTCCTTCTTATTTATGTTTATTACTCTCTCGTAACACATCTATTCGTCGCCACTTACATAACCTTATTGTGTTGTAATTTCCGTAAAACTCTTACTTAAACTAAATACAGAAGTACATGTAAAGGATACACTGCTCCGGCAAGCGATTTGTACCCCCCCCCCCAAAAAAAAAACTCTCTCCATTAAACACTTCTCCTAAATTCCTTAGTACCTGTAATCTGGTGCTCTTTGCTGCGTCAGATGAGAGAAGAAATGTTTAAAACACTGCTGGGAATAGAGCACTCCTGTGTCACTGTTGCCAAATTCTTCCTACTGCTCACTGTGTTTCCAGTAAGAGAGAATGATGAAAGTTTGTACTTTATACATTGTACACTGTATAGGAATAACACCCCTTAATAATAATAATAATAATAATAATAATAATAATAATAATAATAATAATAATAATAATAATAATAATAATAATAATAATAATAATAATAATAATAATAATAAAATAGCATTTGTATAGCCCATACCCCCGTTCAACAGCAAGCTCTTTGCACTTTACACTATTTACACTACACGATTACCCAAGGAGACCATAGAACACTTAGAAACATTCTCAGCTTCCCGGGAAGCATACAGTGCAAGCAGCTGATTAAGCGCTCAAACACTGACAAACTGACAAGTCTTTCAACACTGTAAGGTTATCCAAGAAGGGGGACCACCGAATCTAACATCCATCGAGCCAAATGAGTGGAGAATGGAGCCTTAAAAACTCCCCCAGAACAACCCAAGTTGAGAATGCCTCATTTGTAACTCGAACCAGGCCACCCACTCCATAGTCCAGCATGATACCAGCTGAGATAACGGAACGCCAAAGAATAATAATTGGCGCTCATATGACCTTATGCAATTGCGAGCGCTGTAAAACCCTCTACTTAAAAAAAAACCACCTAATAATAATATTATTTGTTCCAACACATTAACCCGCACCGAATTCGATGGTGTAATGACTAGACTCCTTGCCTTTGCATTCACGAGATACGAGTTTGATTCCTGCAAGTAACATTTTGTCTTGTGCGAACCGTTTGTTGTTTGGTTTTTGTTGGGGGGGGGGGGGTTTGTTGTTGTTTGTTTTGTTTTTGTTTTTTTAGGGGGGTTGCATGGCTGCTGCATCCCACAGGCTGGGTTGGACTTTTGTTTTGTTTTCTTTCTTTTTTTCGGGGAGTGGGGGGGGGGGTGTTGGGGGAAGAGAGTGAAAAGAGTAATGTTTTGCATCTTACCAGCTGAACTGGTGAAGT